ATGCGTACCTAGAGGGGTGTTTAAACGGATTTTAGCTTTCCCATCTAGATGTTCTTTTATGCGGACACAAAGTGGTCTACCCGTTTCCCCGATATATTCCTCGCCGCATGCATTACATGAGATCAAGTATATTATACCTGAACACATGCAATCCCGTCTCTCCCGTTAGGACAGATCATACAGTTTTCTGAGCTGCACAAACGATCTTAGAGACGGTTTCGAACTAGCTGGCGGCGTAGGGTATTGGGTGGGATGTCAACAATCGTTACATAATTTTCAAGACCACTTTTTCTTAAGCACTTTTTAATGGCGTGACTTACTTCATTTGATATGAAGGGCAGCTTAAAGGGAATCTTATTTTCGTCTGTAATATTATTTTGGGGAACTACCCAGTGTTTTCCTCTAACCCGAGTGGCTTCTACTTCGTAGCCATTGGAAATGGCAATTTTTCGTGCCAGGTTTCGCGATTCCTTCCCTTCCTCTTCTCTTGTACACACATTTTTAGCCGTACGATACATAATTTTGATAAGTGCTTTTTTCATGTGTGAAGGATGAGAGGAGAGGCAGTGGACTAGAATGTTTTTACTACTTGGCTTGCGATACCATTTTGTTAAACAGCCACTTACTGAGAGCTTTATTTGGATGTTTAAGAATGGAAGCCAGTTCTCGGTAGGTTTTTCTCGTGTAAATTTTATATACTCTGACTGTAGGTTTAATAATTCAAAGCACTCATCCATCTGTTCTTGTGTGGAACAGACTGTTAGAGGGTTGGCGATGGGGCAGCGTTTAGCACCAAGCCTTGCCATCGCTTTCATGTCTAAGGTGGAAGCTCCAGTTCTCGATCACCGACCCTTACTCTACTGTCGATACATAGATGACTGCTTCATCGGCTGTTCCACACAAACACAAGAACAGATGGATGAGTGCTTTGAATTATTAAACCGGCAGTCAGAGTATATAAAATTTACACGAGAAGAACCAACCGAGAACTGGCTTCCAGGAAGGCGAAGTCGCCGAAACGTCAGCCATCGATCAATAACATCAAAAACAACGACAACGACAACGACAACGAAGATCTGTACCAACCTCGCGTCAGCTTAAGAAGATCAGTTTATAAGATCTCATAAATAAAAAAAATTCATCAAGTATCGTTGGAGGTGATTGCATGAATGCATATCTGGCCTTTACAATGACTCGTGGTGGCACACTGATGTAGCCACTGTTGCTGCTATCCTCCCATTCAAAAGTCTGGTATCAATTTGCCGAGGGATATAGAGCTTGGTGGGCCATGAGTGCGGTGATCGATTCCACGTGTGTCGCAGTGGCGCCTCGAACCACTGCCCCACACACACTCTTTTCTGTAACTGATAAGGTTCAAAGTACCTTAGACTCGGGTGATCTCAGGTAATCATCGTTTATTGTAAGCGACTTCTCATTCAGTACACGAGAACTTACGTTTGAGCATGAACCAGTAAAGTGTCCATTGGTTTCCGACACCTAGCAGTACTGCGAAGTGATCAGGCCTTCCTTCACATAGATGCAAAACTTTTTGCAAATCTCCTTTATTTGCACTGCTCTTGAAAGAAAAGTGCTAACAAACTTCTCATTGATTCTTTCCCGGTTAGGCATGGGAATTATTTCTTAGACAGCCATCCGTAGCAGATATTGTGAATCCATTCACTGAATACACATACGTCTCAGTGCAAATGTATGATCGTTTTTATTCAATAATTATCCCTTTACTCGCCAGCTATGGATGCTACGTGACTTTCGCTATCAATAGAGCTCTGATCTTAACGTCTGTTGTGGTGGGGAAAACCGTTATAGTCAGTAAAGTATACAGAGGGATTTATTCTCACTCGACCCCGTGTGACGGCAAAAGTAGGGAGTTCACGACAAATTTTAATTAGTGGAATATTTTTTCACCAGTGATACTCATTCCTAGCAAACATCGTGCAGTGTAAAGTTATGTCGACGCTTTGAAAAGTGGTTTCTTTACTGATTAATTGACCAGTTGATAAATATGTTGACATTACTTGAAGTCATACGGTGCACATTGGGTTCTGTTGAAAAGAACATTCATTTTGATGGAGGTTTTTGCAAATTCACGTCCTCAAATAGAAAAGATAATGGTTTGGATAACCTTAGCAACTAAAGCTCATGCACAACCTGGCGAGCTCGCCAAATTATCCATCAGTTCACGGAACCATTCTATCTTATGGCAGTGCTCTGAATGCTGTCTGTGAGTAAGTCTGATTCCAAGAACACCGGAAATTGAGAGCGACAAACTGAGGTTATTCATTATATTCGACCTAGAGAAACCCACTGAATAAGCAGGTTTCTTGAGCAAGTGGGAACGAAGACAAGCTTTCTCCATTCTCCATTTAAGCCATTTAACAACAAGCGGCTTTATTTTTGTGACAGTAATGATAGTGGAAAGTAATGATAAAGCTAATGGAAACTATTTTCCACTCACAAGTACATTACCTATTTTACCATTTGGTGTGGACTCAAACTGAAATAGTACATGATTGCCTAAACGTATGTTCCTAGGGTGGATTTTATGTCTTTCAACTATTTGATTTCTATGCCGCTTCTGGTTGGGCACTGCTATGGTTGCTATTTTTTGAATGCATTGCGATCTCATGGAGTGTCGGTAAGAATTTATTACGAAGAGATTTTTGTTGAAGTAACCTACTTTCTTTTTATCACCGAGCCGACCAAAATTCTGCTTGGATTACTGCCTTTGTATTGTTTCCAGGAATAGACCGATGGTATGAACATATGAAAAGCATGATCGGCTATCATCCAAATCGATGGTGGAAGTTTTGTTGGGTTTTAGCCACACCCGCCGTTTGTATGGTAAGTGCAAATGGAAGACGAATTTCTCAGGTTTTTTGTGATTGAAATCATTTGAGCCCTTTGCTTCCTAGCTGTAATTCGTTTTGGCTGTCAAGGTACGAAAATTGGGATATCTCAAAGGAAATAGTCCGAAAACGCGGTTTTCGAAAGAGTAGGGGAGGTAATCTTGTTTGGCTTGGTACGATGTCGAAAACTAGGGCGACCATGTATTGAACGGGATCACTGCCGTAGAGCTACGAAGGGTTAATTATGAGGAGGAAACCGGAGGTTCGTGCTAAGAGGAGATGCCAATTTGTGTTAGTTGGCCAGTGGATTAGGGAGTTGGTCGGATTGGTCTTTTGTCCGCCAACTGTACGTGGAATGCTCGACTTTGTATGAATTCGCCACGCGGGACTTTCCTCCGTAACTGTCTTGAACAACTTCTAGTTTGGATATAACAGTTTATAGCAACAATAACGATACAATAATAATGTGTGATATTTGACGATATGTAAGCTGGGTGGATAAGATCGGGATTGATACATGGGAATGGGAACAAGTGATACACTCTTGAAGGAAGCAAGGCGGACACTGGAGTTGGAGTACTGAGGAATTGGGCAACCGGAAGAAGACCGGACGAACGCGGCTAACACTTCAGGACGAGTCCTATGGTCTGCCTGTATTACTTCTGTAGTGGGTGGAGCTTTGCCAGAGAGAACTAAAGACAACGCCCAGAGAGAGGTTCTAAAAGTTTTTCTACTAGCACAATGCGTGTCTTTGAACTCGGCAATAGAATTGTACAACATGTAATAATTGGGAGAAGTATAAGTAGAGTATTCTATGAAAGAAAGTAAGGAAAGCTCTTTATAAAGTTAAGAAAACTGATAACTGATAAGATAACTGTTTTTCAAGAAGGCTTTTGTTGCTCGTCCAAAATCTCTCTGACTGCTTCGCCTTTTCCAAGATTGGCAAGCCACCAGACGTACTAACCATCTAACTTCACAACGATAGTTTCCTTATAGCTTAGTGAAATCCTCATCTAGAAAACGAAAATTTTCAACTTTGCATGTAGTGCTAATACAAAAGCAATTTAATAGCCCTGGAAGGAAGATGTAGTGAAAAATATGAACCAGTTTGCACCGACATGTTTTGCAACCCTGGATGTCAGAGGCGCAAGACTATTGTGCAATTGGCGTTATCAAACGTAGTTTGGATAAAGAAAGAAAGGACGAAAGAAAAAAGAAACAGGGAGAATAAGGAGCTCCGATCTACTTCGACGAGATGTCTCTGCCTTCGCTGGGATGGTGACGCAAAGTATGGGCTAAAAAAAATCGGCCTACATGAGCTATCAACGACTGTTTTCCATCGGATATCAACCTCATATGGTAATCTCAATGACTTCACAAGCACACTTTTTCATAAAGACCTATGACGAACGATGTCATGGCTCTTCTTGCTTCATGTGCTGAAACAAACTAATGGGCATCCACACTGGTGTGCAAATATGACGAATGTACAGTTTACTGGGAAACACTTGAATCACTTGACAATCGAGAGATAGGTATTTCGAGCAGGTGAGCCAGATAGTAAATTGACTACAACTGAGACATATTACACCTTTTTGAACTGTAGATCATGGAGAGGAAGATCTTCTTTTTTAGATTGAATGAACAGTATGTACTAGGAGATTCCAATATTATTAGGGGCTTTAGACTAAATCAACTCTTTATACTAAGAGACTACTTTATATTCTTGTTGACTGTTGCGTTTGCTCAACAAGAGTATAAAGAATTATTTGATCAATGCCGCGGTTAATAGAAAGCTGGTCGTGGGAACTAGAAGGTTACGTTTTTCTATGAAAAATGGTGATAGAAGAGGAAATCGCATGGGCTTCAGTGACATGGCATTAATTTTGCTCTTATTTTCGATTATCCTTTCCTTCTTTCTTGCTCTTTTTCCTAAAATCGGAGGACTCCAACGTCTATTATCCAATATTTTTCGACAATGCTCGCTGGATCATCTGAGAATTTTTTAGCTCTATAACTAGTAACTCTGACATGTTGGAATGCTTCCAGTGGCAGGGATTTAGTTTTCGCATTTCTCACATCTATAACGGGGTCGGACAGCTGGTGTGCCTGTGTGTGCACTGGTCGTCATCTTTCACTGAACAGTTGTCGTGATGATTGATAGAAGTGATGGTGGCATGATATCAATTGGCCCGTAATATTCACGGATCTAGGAGAAAACAAAAACAGTCTATCCACCCTGACCAATAATTGGATAGTGCCCTAAATGCTTGTTTCTCTTTATACACAGGAAATAGAAATGAGAAATGTGATAACCTATCTTGAGGCTTGGAATTCACAGATTCATTTATTCGCAACTATTTCTGTAAACGGGTGGCTGCTGATATCACCTATAGAACTAGAACATGGCCGAGAGAAAAGAAAAGCAAGGGCCACGCTTGATATGGCGGTTAACAGTTGAGCTCCCGGAAAGATACTCAAGTGCTTCTGAGGCTCCACGCTTTGCTCACATCTCAGCGTCCCTGTGGTTGTATTTCACATCGTAAGCAGCCGTGAAAAGGGATAGGCAGCAGACAAAAGTTAGAACACACAGATCGACTTAACTGAAAAAGCTCCAGTATTTCAACGATGTTAATGAAAGAATAACGAATAGCTTTGTCCCAGCGTTTTTCACGATAGAGATTTTCTATTCTAAAATCCGTCATTTACTTTGTTCCACAGCAATTCCTTGCGGTTGACACTCAGATTGCGACCGTTTGAGATGCTTACAACGCCTAAACTTAAAGCATATTTTAATTGCAGGGCGTGATGATCTTTGGTTTGGTGAAGTACCAACCACTTCGAATCGCCGCCTATAACTATGACTATCCTTTTTGGGGTCATGTATTTGGCTGGTTCCTCTCTCTGTCGTCGATGCTATGCATTCCCGGTTATGCCGTATACGCCTGGTGCATCACATCCGGCAGCTATTCAGAAGTATGTGCGTGTGAAACCATGACTTTTCTGTGTTTTTGTGAATTATACAGTTTTTGCAATGTGATAAATAGTAGAAGCAACAAACACGCTTATCTCACATATTCAGGAGAGAAGCATCGGCGTTCTATCATTAGTTTCGGAAATTCTGAGCAACAGCGTTTCATTGTGATACAGTTGCTTTTCCCAGGATCGACTTTCTATCAACCTCGGCATTGGAATTTGAATGCGTCGTTTTCTTGTTCAGCAATCGCGAGGTTGTTATACAGCATACATTTACTTCCATAGAGAAACAATATGATGCAACAGTAGCTGATGTTTCGGCAGTATCGTCTTCTTCGGAGTCTGGAACGGTATACTGATATACAATTTGCTAGGCCAAACGCTGCAATAACACAAAAAGACGAAAAACTCTTTGGTAATTACATGATCAACAGCTTCTCGAAAAACTCACCGCTTTTTACGTGACTTCCAATGAGGAAGTTTAGAACAGCTGATTAGAGTCGCATGTGGTTGACGACTGCACCATCCCACATCAGAAATCAGATCTCTTGTAATAATTGCTGAGATGAATATATTGGCGAAACGGGCAGGCCTTTGTGTATTCGTATAAAGGAACACCTAAATGGCAAACGAAAACTAAGGCGAAGCACCCCACTAGGCACGCATAGGATACAAAAGCATAGCGCAGACGATTTTGAAGTAAAAGTCAATGTGTCGTTTTCTTGTTCAGCAATCGCGAGGTTTTTAAACAGCATACATTTACTTCCATAAAGAACACAATACAATACAACGCTAGCTGAGGTTTCGGCAGTATCGCCTTCTTCAGAGCCGCTTTTTTTTCCATGACTTCCAATGAGGAAGTTTAGAACAGCTGATTATAGTCGCATGTGGTTGACGACTGCACCATCCCACATCAAAAATCAATGCGAACGTACGGGGTCAGGTCGCGTATGACCGCTAGGCATTCCTCCCTGCTATTCATTGTAGGTTTTTTGGCATTTATCCGAAAACCTCAAGAAGTTTTTGCGCTGGTGTTGTAGTCTCCTGTACGAGGATATTGACTTTGACTTCAAAATCGTCTCCGCTATGCTTTTGTATCCTATGCGTGCCTAGTGGGCTGCTTCGTCTTAGTTTTCGTTTGCCATCTAGGTGTTCTTTTATGCGGGTACATAAAGGTCTGCCCGTTTCGCCAATATATTCATCTCCGCAATTATTACAAGATATTAGGTATATCGTATCTGAACTCATGCCGTAGCCGGTGGTATTTCAACTATCGCTACCGGTTTCTCGCGGATGAATTTAATACACTCAGACTGCTCATTCAATAATTCAAAGTATTTGTCCATCTCCTGCTGAGTAGAGGAGATGACAAAACAATCATCTTTATACCTACAGTAGAGTAGCTGCCGCAGATCTATAACCGGGGCTTCTATTTTAGACATGAACGCAATGGCGAGAGTTGGTGCCAACCGCTGTCCCATTGCCAGCCCTCTAATTTGTGCGTAATAATTCCCAGACCATCTAAAAATCGAGCAGTTTAGGCACTCTTCTAGGAGAACTATAAGGTCTTGAATGAAGAAGCCACCGATATGTATTCCTCGTTCATGTTCAACAAGGAGTTCGTGGTTGGCTTCAATTGCGGAATCATTCGATACGTTGGTGTAAAGCCAACAAACGTCGTATGACTCAATCACGTACACATTGTTTGGGGACGTGTTACGTAGACGTTCTAGGACCATTTAAGTGCTCGTGAGGTGAGCTGGAATATGGCTAAGCAGCTGGGCAAGTATTCGGCCTAGAAACCATGTTATTCTATCCGTAAGTCTCTCTATACCGCTGTTTATGGGTCAAACTTTGTAGGATAGTGGATTAGTAGATCCGAGATCATCAGCTGATACTAACTTATGTGTTTTAATAAATAAGTATTAAACGGGATATGTTGGTCGGTCTACTTTATAATGCCAAATAACCGATGATTAAGCCCGCCGCCTTTGCTACTGCGACCCATTCATTGTTAAGTTTTCAGTATTGTCTTCAGTATTTCTTTTCAGACGATGGGCGATAGAGGGTAACATCACTAAGATGTTCCTCAGTTATCTTAACATCTAACTGCCGAGGAATAACTACGAACTCCCTCCTTTATCACTAACTGATAGTCTAATGGTCTTCGAATTTATTAATTCTCTAATTTCTCGCATGCGACATTTTTGCGTAGCTGTGAAGTTGGAGATATATCGCGATAGTGGACAAGAGTTTTGAGAACATCATCCGAAAACATGGGAAACTTTGCACCAATTTCGACATTGGGGTCCTGCAGTCTGGAGAACGCTCTGGGGAAGGGAGATGGTGGTACTACCGCCGTTTCTTCGTTTTTATTTATATGCAATATTTCTCTTTTGGCCTTATGGTGGAGGCGATCTTGAAGTTTATACAAGCGGCATGCGATCCTGCTGCACAGTTTAGAAATGGGTTGTGATGGTGAAACACTTGGACCCAATTCAAGCAGTGAACGCGCGTTCTTAGGTAAGATCATGCCTCCAAGTACTGTGACCCTAAATGTCCTTGGTGCACTATCAACCCTATTTTGACTATTGCCAGAAACGTAAGGAATTCGTTTGCGGTTGTTTCTTGAAGCTGAAGCATGTGAATTACTCGAAAGATTTTCGAATTTTCGTTGTAAGGTTATTTTGTCATTAGATCTAATAAAATCGCATATCAATATTGACCCACCAACTATCCTCCTCCAAAGGCGATCCTCCAAATACAAAGCACAAAAATGTTCCTTCGTTGCACACTTCTTCATTCTGGCAAACATCTCGCTCTGCTTGCTTCGCAGTGCAGCTCGAAGTAGTTATATTTCGATGCCTCGTACTTGTTGGCTGCCCTCGGGTTGACCGCATATCTCGTGAAGTCGTTTTCGTTTGAGAAACTTCGGCACGATTCGATGTGAAAACAGGACGAAGAAAGTTGATTTGCTGTCTAGCAAAGACGATCTTTTGTCTTAGTGACAGTACCTGTTTCAAAAGTCGAAAGTATTTTGCTGGTACATCTTGTAACAGTTCCCAGGATCTGTTGTATCGTATTTTGTAGCTGCCGTTGTATCGCATTGTGTTTTTCTATGGAAGTAAATGTATGCTGTATAACAACCTCGCGATATGCTGAACAAGAAAACGACAATTGCTTTCTCATTGTTCATCAAATAATATTTTCGTGCTGAAATCTCCCTTGAAAGGGATTTAAAATCAAACTACATATCTATTTTCTGTTCCTTGCATTCTAAAATGGAACCAGCATGAATAGTTCAGCCAGGATGATGTGCTTAAAATGATGGTCTCTTTCAAATCGATGGCAGTCAGTAGCGCTTCCATAATATTCGAGGGCTTTCCTGTAGATTTTCTAGGATTTTCAAGAGAAGTTGGTGGACTCACTTGCAAGTGCCGAAGTGTTTAGTTTTCTGTCTTCGGACTCTTCACTAATCAGTGTTAAATCTAGACTAGGTTAAAATGCAGTAATTTTATTATATTGCCTTAGCATATAAATCTTCTGTTCATTCACTAACTTCAAGGCTGTAGATTTGAAAATTCAGGCAAGGGATTTAAAATCCACTAACTCAGAAACCGTAAGAAATCCGTGTTATGTTAGGTGGTTTCGTCCTGAGGTGAACACGACACTATGTGGTCATAAGTGTTGCTTTTGTGCACTGCGCTTTCTAAGCACACATGGAATTGTTAATACAGATTTATTACTTTTCAGTATATCTGTATATATGTTCTTACGAACTATTTTTTAACGGACGCGAGATTGATATAGATGTTCTTATTACTGTTGTTGTCTTTGTTCAATGGCTAACGTTTCAGCGACTTCTCCACCTACAGGGCTTTGCCATTGGTTCACACGTGTACGATGACTCGTAGACTCACCATCACTCGTGAACAACACACGGGTGGTCCAACAGCAAGGCTCTGAGGAAGGTGAAATCGCCGAAACGTCAGCCATTAAACAGAGGCAGCAACGACACAGCAACAATATGAACTTCTATACCAACCTCGCGTCGGCTTAAGAACGGCACTTCGTAAGAACATATGTACAGATGTACCGATTATTATGCAGAAGCTCATAGAAAGTCGCTCTTTTGAGTTATTAAGAGATGTACCAACAGAACTTCTCACTATAATTACTGTAGTGCTACATCATTATGCATATAGGAAGCTTATAAGTGTTATTATTTGAAGGCATAAGGTCTTATTAGCTTATTAATTAATTATTTGAAAACATAAGGTCTTATTTTCAGAAGTTCAAAACACTTTTTCGCCCTGATGTCGAGATCGAGAAGGCGAATCATGAAGTTCATGATGACACGGAAATGCAAGAGTTCAATGCATAACGATTGAAGTAACGATCTGAGTGCTTAGTGGTATGAACGGTCGTCTAGCCATTACATCAATGTTTTTTGTGTGTGACTTATGTTTTACTATTGTCAAATAACATTCCTTCAATCATCTCTCTCACACTTCCAGTCGTTTTCCTTTGTTCTTATCGTATTTTAATGAAGAAAGAACAAAAAACTTCGTACTTTTTTCATTCGATTCATTGTTTCATTTTGTTTCTTTGATCACGCGCACTTATACTTTAGTTATTGTCTCACATGCATTACGAGAGCTTTCATAAGCAGCTACCACTTTTCATAATTAAGCATTCATTGTCATGTACCGATGCATGCATTTCAACGACATTTTCAATTGTGGATGTGCTGCTGATCGACAGAGATAAAAACCTTCTCTTAACCGATCTTATAGTGATAATGATGAAATGTACGAAATTAATGTGTAAAATAAGTTTTACTGATCTGGTTTTGCTTTCGCTGGTTGTAAAAGACGAAAAATATGTAGTCTTCAGCGTTGATCAATCCGAAAGAAATGCGTTACTTGTTCGTGTCCTATGAAGCAACGTAAAGAGGAATGCATGCATATTTGGCCGATAGAGTGACTTGCGTGAGCTTACGAATGTGCTAAGCCAGCAATTTAGTCGGTCCGGGCAAACGTCGTATCAGTTTACCGAAGGAATGGTAAACTTACTTGGTTTGGGTGGTTGGATCAATCCAACGATTGTATATGAACTGCTGAGCTGCTCCAATAGCTCTGCAAGACGTGTTCGTTGTTGGTTACATATCTTCCGAAATTAAAAAATACATAAAGCACGAATAATGGTTATGAGTTCACACTACGGAAAAAGCAGTATCATCTTTAGGAAGGGTTGAACGACACTGACCATGCTTCGCACTTGTACTGAGCGCCTAAGACGAGTACAGTCGTAATAAGTTCAGTACTGTAAAATGCAATAACAAGGGAAGTGTAAAGCTTACCAGGACAAAATTGATTAGTTAGCGGCTAAAAAAGTACAATCTCTCACCTTGACATCATTAAGTTGCCATGCACTTTATTAAACGTCGGCTGCAATACCATTAAGCATCGTTTGACTCGAGCGAATGACTGTAAATCCTCCTGCAGTATGTTCCCCTTTTGCTCTATAAATGCAAAGAACACAAAGTTTTTGTGCGATATCTCTTTTCTACTTAGTTTGCTCGGCTCTGCTGTGGCATAGATATACATTTATTTCGGCAGTTGATTGGGAATGTTAAACTTTCCTTAGGGTGCATGGTCCTGCTTTGGAGATAAAGATCTCGCTGAATGTCGCAATTGTAAAAGTGTTCAAAAGTGAGCATTTTTAAATCATGATGAGGCAGTATATGGTCGGGAAGCAACTTTATCATGAAATAGAGTATTTTTGCTACTTTTATTTTATTTCACACGACCCACCTTTATATCTACTTTGCAGTTTGCAGCACTTTCTCCATTCGATTTATTTCCTCGCATCCATCGTGTACGTTGATCTTCCACCTTGCTGCATGTGGGTTTAGCTACTGCTTGGCGATTTCCGTCCTATCATGAATGTAGTTGAATGCTGGTTGGGTCCATTCTACGTGCAATTTCAGAATATCCGAACTACAGCCTTTCCAATTGGGCAGGAGAGAGAGTTGGACCTAGAGAAGGCTCGTACTGATTTTCTGACTTCGCAGAAATAAGAATTTTCATGAGCTCTTTGCGGGGTCGAACCAGCACCATACTCGTGATCAACGGCACCACTACTACTGTGCCACCCGTCCTCTGAAATGCCGTTTATTCATATGATATCAACTGAATGCATAAAGCGTTTTTCAAAGTGCCATGAAGAGTTTTTAGTTCGAATGTCTAAAATATTGAAGTGATTACATCGTTGCGGACGTTCGTTTTTCTTCAAATCGAGTTTCTTTTGACAGTGTTCAACAGCTGGGATCGTTAGGATGACAATAGGCAGTTTCAAATATTCTGAAATTTTGAGACATTATTGGTTATTCGAGCATCAAATCTATTTAGATTTTAAATAATGAGCTTATGTCTTGTTGTCGGTGGCGCCGAAGACAAGGTGAAAACTGCTTCAACTCACACAGAAGGAAAAAGAACAACGCAGACATGCGCTGTGATGCTTTATGATTGTCATCCTCGTCCTTCGATCTCCCACAGTACTTCCTCACGAAACTACATGTTGGCAAACATTACCTTACTTAAATGATCTGTTCACACACGATGCACTGCCAGCACTTTTCCATTCCCATCACGCCCTGAAAATTGGCTTCAACAGAGTGGTTGATCTTGGGTATGAGATCGACGACTGCTTGACGACTTCTTGTCCTCTCTTCTCATTGAAATCCTGAAAGCTGGTTGAGCGTAGCTTCTGGAATTTCGAGAGAGCTGTGCAATACTGTTGGCAGATCTTCATAACAGTAGCGAATCTTCTTCCTTAGGTGGAACGAAGGCTTTTTTACAACTAACATTTTTCATGGAGACGACCATTCTTAAAATTATTCGATCAACTCAGTGAAGACGAGGTAATGGACCGAATCCGGTGTATTTACAAGTGAGATATTATATAAAACTCGCACGATTAATAATAAATAAAGTCCGTGCAAAGATAACTTTTTTGAGTTTGTTGGTCATATTTAAGCCTTGCACGCTTTATCATCTTCAACTCATTAATGATCCCATTGTGTTCCACTCTCGGCCTAGTCGCGGCCAGTCTACAGCCCTCTTTCCGAGATGTCGTTTGACATTGGACACACAGATCCAGTTCACAGTCGCCCCTGTGTGTATCCATCTCACACTCCATTTGTGGATTACGAATCTCATTGAAGCGGAATAAAATGCGACCAATTGATTCAGAAAAAGCATCGACCATATTACTGTTTTTGTTAGTCGTCGTCGTTGTTGAAACTCTTAGCAGGCAAATCCACCAACATCCCGATTGGAATCAGATACCAGGTGCGCTTTATTCTTTCCGCCTTCATTCGTCATTCGTTCATTCGACATCTTTTTCCACTCTCCCTCTCTCTTACTACTCTTTTTGTCATTCTCGTCGTTTGAACTTGTCATTGGTCAGTCCGCCTTATCTGGCATCATTTATCTGAATGATTTACGACCTTTTAGACGTCTTTTAATGTCTTTTTTTTTAACTCAACTGCATAGCTTTTCCTGATCTTCTCTTCCTTAGTAAAGGGAGTACCAGAAAGTGTAATGAATTTCGCTTAATATCAAAAAAGGAAAGTTCTTAAGAATTCGATTTTAAAAAAATCTGGCCGATTTTCGCATAGCCTCCTCTATTTCGTCAACCACGTCTTGCCTAAAAAAACGAGTTTAAAAAGAGAACAACAGATAGAATTTTATTCCGAAGGCCTTCTGAAAATCTTTCGGACAATCAGTTATCAATTCCCAAGACCGACTTTCTGTTAACCTCGGCATTAATTGATAATTCAATGTTTTTCATCAATAAGCAGACACGAGGTTGTTAATATAGAATTTATTAGAACACAATTGCTGACGTTTCGGCGGTTTCGCCTCCTTCAGAGCCTGGAAAGGTCAAATTGAGATGTGATCTACTCAGCCAAACACTTTCACAACCCTAGCAGATAAAACTTGACAATTGTCAGCAATTGTGTTCTAATAAATTCTATATTAACAACCTCGTGTCTGCTTATTGATGAGAAACATTGAATCAGTTTCAATTCGGTAAGTTTAGAGGTCGTAGTATTACCGATATCTAGTAAAGTAGTAGCCGCTTGCTAATTAACTATATGCTTGGTTTGGGATATAACTTTGACAACCACGATAACATTTGAATGCTTCGCGATATCTCCGTAGATCTATCAGAATAACCTGTTATATTTAGTAATAATAAGATCATCACTGGTAGCGCTCGTTCATCCGGCGTCAACTGTTGGGTTCCGATGAAAGAAAACGAGAACTTATAATTCTCTTTTAACATTTCGAATAGCGCTTTTCACTACATTAACACATTGTCTCATGATCAATGTTTTTTTCCAGTACTTTTTGTTGGCTATGATCAAAGGAAGACCATTGATGGAACGACCGTCGAAGATTTCGAGCTTCAAAACCTGTTAGATTATAAGTAAGACGTTCCGCAAGAGCAAAAAACGGAAGCTTACAAGAAAACTCTGTAATTTCTGTCAAATGTGGTCTGATCTGCGACATTTCAACCATACGAATAGTCGTTAGAATCACTACCGTTGTTTATTTCTTAGACGTATTCCATTCGAAGGAAAGGAAACATTACTTCAAAGCTGCCACGCGTGGTGAAGACCTGTGAACGCTCTAAGGCTATTCCCATTTTCAAAGTAATGATACACCTATCTATCGAACAAAATTCAAAACAGTAGAGGACACTACTAATTTTCAAGATGAAAACTAACCCGCACGCAATTATGACTACTAGTTCAAGGTATAAGGGTTAGAAGTGCAGTCGAGCAAGGTTGGTATTTCGATGGGTGGCTATAGTGGCCACTTACATCGAGACAATACTGAGCACTTCTCAAGCCTGTTTTCCATCTCTAAAAGATTTTCAACTGACTTAATGTTTTGTTTATTAGTTGTAAAATCAAGGTCGGCACCATTAGTGGTTCCCCGATAGTATATCTAAACTTGTTAAATTGGACCGTTCTGTCGTAATTAAATCTGTTTACTGTTATTCTCACTCATGAAATCATCAGTAAGAAGGGCTGATGTTGTTAAGAAACAAAAATCTTTCTATTTAATAAGAATATTACCTCCTTCGTGCCGTTCGTGAACAACTACTGACGCACCCACCAATAAATTCTCCACTCGTAAGCACGCAATGGAGCTACCCCCAACGAATTTTTGTATTTTGCACAAGATTACACAAATGACACGGATAGTAATGGAAAAGAATATATACCTTTCGTGGTGTGAGTAACCTCGAACGACTTAATTTGTGCCTTCTTCCGTTCGAGAAACTCGAATAGCGAACATTTTGAATAAAAGGCCATGTTCTGAACTCATTTGGATCTCGGTTCAATCGGTTTCATTGCGCCTTCATCCGCCAACCTCGGCGCGACACATATCTTTATGACTAGCTGCCTCGAAATTCCTCACGTTAGGGAGATCTATAGAGAAACTCCCACTTGTAAAAATGTAGTAAAATAGATCGATGCCGTGAGAATACGAACTGATTCTGCTCCTCCGTAGAAAATTTCCTTCCAAGTAATCCGATAGTTATCTAAATATCCTCCACGCACATTTGACTTTAGACTAAGGACGTTTCATCGATTTAGTGGATTTTTAGTGATTTTAGCCGATGAAAAGAAGTTGTCCAGTAATTTCTATTTTTAGGAAGTGCCGGTGTGAAAATTCGATTAACGAAGAAAGGGATCAACCATGTGAAAACGGTCGGCGTTCGATTGCTAAACGAGCAGATATCTCAGCTCTCTGGTTATTCAACACAGTTTACCATTTCTCAACCAGGAATTGAGGGTTTCGTAACCTTAAGCGATATTAGAGTGCTACAGTATACGGGTCCTCAAGTGAGTTCATAATCACATAATGGCTATATCGTTATTTCATAAAGCGTCTGCACTGCAGTGCTTAGAGATGTTCTACAATTCACATGAGGTATTGGTTTGATTTTCCTTCTGCAAAGACCAAGCCTTCAAACTTTGAGGTCAGAAAATTGCTAAAATACTTGTGTACGAGCACAAATAACACTGACCTGATGCATCGGCATGACCCTGGAAATTACGGAATAGGCTAAATATATAAACAATTTCCTCTACGATCCTACATAACGCGGAATGAATGACGCATTCCTCACGAATTGACCAATGATGAACTCTTTATTCGTTATCATTCTATCGAACGACAGTTCTAACTTCAAATTTTGCAAGCACGGTCAGCTGTTGGTCATTGTGTTGCAAAAATATATAATAAACTAAAAAAAATAATTGACTGACATAGTCTTATCAAGGGGCCTTTATGCTTTACCCCACTACAACGGAGGCATTGTTGTTTCTGTGCATCATAACTGCAGCACAGACCTACAGCAGAAGATTTAGCCGAGAACGGATTTGAAACTTTTACCCGATTTGAGTCTTCCTGGAGAAAAACTCTAGTCATGGCACAGCAAACATTTTACCGATCGACGACGGTTTTACCGTGATGAGTGAGCAAATTCTAACATTGAGGCTTCGAAGGAAACGGTAATTTATAAAAACAGTAGAATACCTGGGAAACTGTTCCAGTTCGCTTGGCCCGTTGTGTGTTAGCCCGCAACGGAACCCGAACACTTTCAGTTTTTTCGTTTTTTCCGCTTTTAGGTATCCGTCGTGAATTTTCTTCCACCTCATTTTATTGTGTTGGGTTTGGAGAACATGGATATCTGGTTAGTGAGGATTTTATTTTCACACAATTTGCTATCAGTCCAGTGACCTCGATTTCTACGGGAGTGATGCATGTACCTAAATGTCACAGCCATCAAAGAACTCGAACAACTTTCAGGCTGTCAGGTTTATTTTATGGATCTGGTGGTCCGATTCAGGTTGAGGGTTTTGTTGACGGATACATTGTTGGGATGACGGTGGCGCTGACTACCGAGTTTACCAGCACCCACGACGGAATGATGAGAGTTCAGGTGACAGACGCGCATTCATTGTGCTCCTCAAATAGTAAAACTAAAGAATAAGGTAGAATTTTTAAGAAAATTTTAGAAGAGGCAATCACTGCCCACTCACTTTGCTCTCCAATAGATCTATAATATGTTTACACCGTTAAAAACTTCTGTATTCAATCGTCTCCATTACACATCAAATTTTTTGCGAGTGATGTTCTTCGCGTATAAATTTGTACTTGCATGCTTTCTAAGCAGGAAAACAGAAAAACTATTGAAAGTGACAAGTTATTACCACTGAAGAAAGTTAAATACTGTACAGGTACCAAACTGTTCTACAGTAATCGGCCAGAGTCATTTTAACATTAATCCACAAGGACCAATGGGACCACTGGTGAAGACACTAGAGGTTGTAAAATTTTAGCACACTTTACTACTTATTTTTAAAGCCGTATTAATACGTACCGTAATTTTCTAGTTTATCAAGAGAATCTCAAATTACAGTGCTATTTTTGGTCGTTGATTATTACTATTCAGCATTGAGAAGAAAAAAGTTGGATTCAAGCAAGTGCTCGATTTTTAATGAAATCCACGTAGGGTTAATATTAGTGGCAAACTAAGGATATCACCTTTTAGATTAGCCTAAAAAATTAAAATTGTAATAGAAATTCAACCACAACGTTGCTGAGATATTTGCAAAACTCTGGACCGCAGGTGTCCAAAAGGACCCGCATGGTGTGGTGGTGAACGCGTTACTCCCCGGAAAGGACAATAGCGCGTTCGTTCCCCACCATAGACACCTGCGGTCCAGAGTTTTGCAAATATCTCAGCAACGTTGTGGTTGTATTTCGTTTACTTAGTAACCTGCCATGAAAATTATAGAAGGCAGAAAACAAAACGTTAAACATTGTAATAGAAATTCTTTTTGCGATGAAAAGATCTTTGGTTTCATCTGCTACGAAAAAAACAAGAACGCAAATTTAAGCACAAATTAGCTTAAAGTCATTCCATCCATGCTTTTCTGTTCATGATGATTTGTGCTAAAACCCTAATACTGATTTTTTATGGCTTAATCAACGAGGGAATACGACATCGAATTCCTGGGATGTTCTGCAAGAAACTTAAGCATCTCATCGAAGAAAACTCGCCCCGATTATTCAAGAAACTCGTACGGACCGAATTTCAAGGAAACTTCAAGGATTTCAGCCTAATTGACAGTCCAGTGATAAAAAAGTAGGTTCGTTAGCGAATCACTGATAAACTCTGATAATGATCTATCAGATGTGTCTGAGTGTTCTGAAGTGTAATATAACCACTATGATGCTGAGAAAATTGCAAACCTTGGACTCAGGCCAGTTTCGAACCTCTGACTGCCCTTCACGTATTACCCCTTTCACCAGTAATGTCTGTTTTGCCTTTCACTCAGCCAGTCTTTTAACCCGTTGATGGGTGGATGCTGATAGCGCCTTTAAGGAGAAACACTAGCTAAGAGAAAGGCAAACAAGGGCATCACCGATGCAATGGGTAACACGTAAGGTCTCGGAAGGGAATTCGTAGGTTCGAATCTGGCAGTCGCCCAAGTTTTGCAAATACCTCAGCATCACAATGATTGTATTTCATACAATGATTTTCTTCAAAAAATGGGCAGTGGTTAACAAGTTTCACACTGATTCGAAGTGCCTTTTTTTCTTTCTCTTTTGTACTCATGTAGCCTTAGTGCTCCGTTTAGATTCGTTGAGAACTTCGTAAGCGGAATGTACATTGATAACCGGCATATCCATAATCCTCTTGTGACCAATGAGTACATTGAATCGTATCACAGAGGTAATTTTCTCGAAAAAAAAAACGAGGAAGTGGCTTTATTCGTTCTTCTTTTTCTTTTCTAGCAAACTCTAGTAGAAAAGTGCTACCAAAAGTTTTAGTGAGGTGGTAAAATAATGAACTGATAAAGGATAAAATAAAGAGAATAGCGTACGATGAGACCAGGAAGAGATTGAAGCAAACGACAGAGATGCCAAGGACGAGGAGACGAAGCGGTGTAATAAAGAAGGAAGTTAACTAGGAAAGAAACTTAAAAGCCGTGAGATAGGAGATTATTCTAAAACAAGGCACTCCAAGCCCAAATGTTTATAAAGAAATGAAATAACTAAGTACTTTATAATGTTAGAACTGAATTTTAGCAAATAATATCTACTACAGGTGAGATTCGTTACCACAACAACCACGAGCCAACGCCATTCTATCCAAAGTGAGTATTTTATTGAAAGTCGTTCGAAGATAAATTGAAATAGTGCGGCGCTCTAGATAGTTCAATTTTATTACAAAATGCGATCGATATACAAAAATCATTGATACTAGCTCTAATAGCGCTGAACATTGAACACTTTGACTAATATCCAAAAATTCTAGTCGTCATCGTTCCATAACAAAACGGGTCAATTTCTCCGCTTTCTGCATACCAAGAGCATCACATGTTTAGAACAAGGTTTTTTCATTAGCGTTTTTGGTGAGAAGGTACTCACGGATAGCTCTACTGCAGGATAGATTTTCTCTCGGTCGAACCACCGCTCAAATTAGATTAACTTGATAAAGGAATGCATCCAGCGCTAAATAACATCCAGCAGCAAACTTCCATTTCCATTTTCCCTCCACAGGTGGCAGACGTTTGAAAAAATCTGTGGTTTTCTCATAACTTTTATTTCTTTTATTTAATTCCTTTCACGGCATTCGTCATCCATGAAGCTGTTCGGATTTACCTGTGAATTGGTCTGCTGCTTGCGAAGCTTGCTAAGCCTACTGAATGATCAAACCAGGTTTTAGAGCGTAGTGAACAGCATCACTACCAATTTAGTGCTTTATCTATAACTATTTATTTAAAGTCGCTATCGTTGTTGTGGTTGGACGGCCGACATTTCAGCGATTTCGTCTTCTTCAGAGCCATCATGCTGCGTGTGGATCATCCATGGGCCTTTTGAGTTACATAATGTCAATAAAAAAAATCAAACAACAAGCTAGAAAATGTATTGAGTACACGGAAGGCTTATAATGGAGAATCACAATTAGTCTGAAACGGTTTTTGGAATAAAAATATTCGTAAAAGATAGAGATACTATTTGAACTGATTTTAGACCAATTTACACACACACGGACTCCGATCGAATGCTGTACTTTTACGGCTCTGATTATCTATTCAATTCATTGCTTTATCACGCTTATCAAACCAACAAGCTTTCAATAAAGGTTTGTTGAAGTAGATTTGAAATCACAAGCCGACTAAGAGAATATTTTGAGAAAAACGAAGTACAACATACAAATGGTGCGTGTGGAATGGTGTAGGTATAGAACAGTGGTTCGGAGTTACAGAGGAAGTTTGATTGCCGGTGTCCCATCACTACCAGTCGATGGAAAAAGCGCATCAAACTTTGAAAATCTGTACGCATACCAATAATACGCATCGTTTATGTTGTGATAGTCTCCTGAAAGAATAGCAATCAATAAAAATTAAAACTATAAAAGTTCTGAATAGAGATATTTCACCGGATATGAGATCTTCCAGATAAATGAGGAAAATCTGTCAGATAAATACCGCGGCTTCCTATCGACAACGTGCCCTGGCAGTGTTGCCGCCAAGGATTTCGCATCTTCAATATGCGTTGGAAAGCTCATTCCGATCATTGGAGAGGTGATTTTGAAGTGGAATTCAGTACAATTTTTTACCCTTGTTTTCTGATTTCGTAAATCTAAAGCATCCATATTAAACCGACATTCACTTAACCTCGGCGTGAATAATCAATAAACTTCTTCATATCTTTCAGCTTACATGAGGTTGTTATATAAGTTTTTATTCGGTAAATGTTTCGACTTTTTCGTCCTTTTTAGAGCCGATAATTCGAGTGGATGTGCACAGTTGTTCATCCTCACAGTCGAACTGTTGTTGACGATTCTTGAATAAAAGGGCGCCGCCACGTGAGGTTGCTCCATTCCAGTGAGGGTCCACTGAAGAAGATTTGACTCGATATGTCGATGAATGCACCGCATCGAGAAAACGAACGACTGTAGACATCGACTCGGATCACCGGCTCTGAAGAAGACGAAGACGTCGAGACGTTAGCAGAATAAAGGCTGTATAACAACCTTGTGTAAGCCTAACAATCGAAAGAAATCGAAAGCATTGAGTTGATCGTAGTCATTTTTCAGACGACATGTTTCCTATTTTCTGATTTCGACGAAAATGAACAAAGACTGTCTATTCATCATAAAGGATAAAGCTATCGGCTTTGATCAATCCCTGAGGGATGAGCCATGCATTCCACTTGATTAAGCATCGTTTGGAGGTGATTGAATGTATCATATCAGGCCTCCACAATGACTCGTGGTGGCCTACCGATGTATCGACCCAGTGCTGCTATCCTCCCAGACAAGTATGGTACCAATTTGCCGACCCCGTAGGAATGGAAGAGTTGGCGGGCTACGGGCGCGGGAACCGATCCCATGTGCGTGTTCTAGGGGCCTCCGACCACTCCGCCGCTCGCGCCCGTCTATGCATCGTAGGAAAAGATTTTTAAAAGTGCCTGCCAAAATATTCGAAAAATCACTGAGTAGATATGGGGCCAAATCTCTGCTTTGTTATGCTGCTAAATAAATAAACATAAACATAAACATAAACATTTCTATATTTTGTGTTTAGTTTCTACTGTTTGATTGCTAGATTTTCTGCTAGACGATGGCGGTTATTTATTGATCCTATAATACAGCTTTAGATTTTTGATACTACTATGTAGTTGTCACTCCTGCGTTTAGCTCGTAAGGGATGCTGTTGGAGAAACAGAGAAGCACAGTATGGAAAGATTTTGTAGGCCCGGAACATAATCGACATACAATCACAATGATGCTGACATATTTCCAAAGTTTGGACGCCGTGCCTAATCGAACCACTACTTCTCCTTCAGACCGCTGGCCTGTTTCACACTGCACTACTGAGGCCCCTACTTCACTAAGACAAAGGCAAAGCAAGGGCCTCATTTGGGGTACTGGACAGCGCTTGAGCCTCCGGAAAGGGTAGTCGTGGTTCCATCTGGCTTAGGGTCCAAGGATTGCACATATCTCAGCCTCAATGTGGTTGTAATTCACATCACACCCAGCCATGAAAACTATAGTTAACGTAAGTATTTACTGAACGTGGGCGAAATGAGGATTTGCGATAATCATGAGAACAAAGTTCTAAAGACTCGAAAGACAGACTTTCTATAAACCTCGGCATTGATAGTTGATATATTTATTGATGTGATCTTATAAACTGATATCTTGTTAAGCTGACGCGAGTGACGTTTCGACGACTTCGCCTTCCTCAGAGCCTGGACGTATTTTATATCAGAATATTTTTTATTATTCGGCGGAAAAGAAAGGTTAAAGTATTAATGAAGATCAAACTTTTAAATAGATGCCATATTGAACAGAAAGGCCACTCGCCGTGCTGTTACGTGTAGGACTGGCCTACACGTAGTTCGCGTGGAGTCGCAAGCAAGGTGCACCTCGGGGTCAAAATATCATTTTGAAATAGGGCGCCATGTCACGCGTGATAGTGAGGCATTCGTCCTTCCAGTTCATCTTTGGATTTTTGAAATTTATCCAAAGCGCCTCAAGAGTTTTGCGCGTTGATGTTTTTGATTCCTGCGCTAGGATCCGCACATTCGCTTTAAAATCATCGCCGTTGTGCTTTTGTGCCCTATGCATACCTAGAGGGGTGTTTAAACGGATTTTAGCTTTCCCATCTAGATGTTCTTTTATGCGAACACAAAGTGGTCTACCCGTTTCCCCGATATATTCCTTGCCGCATGCATTACATAAGATCAAGTATATTATACCTGAACACATGCAATCCCCGTCTCTCCCGTTAGGACAGATCATACAGTTTTCTGAGCTGCACAAACGATTATAGAGACGGTTTCGAACTAACTGGCGGCGTAGGGTATTGGGTGGGATGTCAATAATCGTTACATAATTTTCAAAACCACTTTTTCTTAGGCACTTTTTAATTGCGTGACTTACTTCATTTGATATGGAAGGTAGAAAGGGATCTTACTTTCGTCCGAAATATTATTTTAGGGAACTACCCTCCGTTTTCTCTAGTCCGAGTGGCTTCTATTTTGTAGCCATTTGAAATGGCAATTTTTCGAGCCAGGTATCGCGATTCCTTCCTTTCCTCTTCTCCTGTACACACATTTTTAGCCGTACGATACATATTTTTGATAAGTGGTTTTTTCATATGTGGAAGATGGGAGGAGAGGCAGTGGACTAGAATGTTTTTACTACTTGGCTTGCGATACCACTTTGTTATATAGCCACTTACTGTGAGCTTTATTTGGATGTTTAAAAATGGAAACCAGTTCTCGGTAGGATTTTTTCGTGTAAATTTTATATACCTTGACTGTCGGTTTAATAATTCAAAGCACCCATCCATCTGTTCTTGCGTGAGTCGTCTATGTATCGACAGTAGAGTAAGGGTCGGTGATCGAGAACTGGAGCTTCCACCTTAAACATGAAAGCGATGGCAAGGCTTGGTGCTACACGCTATCCTATGGCCAACCCTCTAATTTGTGTAAAATATTTTCCAGACCACCTGAAGATTGAACAACTAAGACACTGTTTTAAAAAAGTGATTTGTTGCGCAATCGACAAGCCGTACATTTTTATTTTCTTCTCGTGCTCTACGAGGAACTCGAGAATGGCTTGCATGGCGAAGTCGTTCGACACGTTGGTATAAAGTGAAGTAACATCGAGTGATTACACTATGTGTGTGCTGTTTGGTTGCGCGTACCGCAGGTGGTATGGAAATATTTTGGTGTTGGGTAAATGGGTTGTAATGATTTTTAGTAACTGGGTCAGGATCAAGGTTTATGAACCACGTTATTCTATCCGTTGGGCCGCCTAACAACTGATAATAGGTCTAACTTTAAATGATAACGAGTTTGTGGACGTAATATCACCAGTTGAAGTAAGCTTATGTCGTGTGAAGACCGACCGCTTCACATGGAAGCGTAAGCTTATGTGTTTTAATAAGCAAGTAAAGGACAGGGCAAATCGGGTGTTCGTTTTTAAGTCGAGAAATAACTGAAGACTCTAAACCCGCAGCCTTTGCCGTGCTGACCCATTCTTGATTTAATTTTCGGGATTGATTTCTGTATTCCTTTTCAGAGGATGTTCGATAGAGAGAAACATCATTGAGGTGCTCTTCTGTTATTCTAATATCCAACTGACTAGGAAAAACTACAAATTCTCCACCTTTATCACTAATAAAAAGTCTAACAGATTTTGAATTCAAAAGTTCTCTAACCTGGCGCATACCACATTTTTGTTGGTGTGTGAGGTTGGAGTTTCTTTTTCGTTTTTGGTGGTGATTAAGTATGCGGGGAATTTCGTCCGAAAATGAACGAAGTGTAGGGTCAATATCGCTATTTGGTAGCTCTTGTTTAAAGAAAGTTTAGGGAAAGGGTATCGGTGGTAGTTCTTCCTTGGTACAACTTCACCTAACCTTTCAAGCCTAGCCCTGTAACGTAGCTGATCTTGAAGTTCATGTAGACTACACGTCATCCTGCGCAGGATTGGTTTAGGTAAAGGGGTTGACTAGGTGCAAAACACGGACCCAATTCTAACAAGGAACGCACATTTTCCGAAAGCGTTATACCTCCTAGCACCTACCCTGGATGTTCTTGGTGCGCAGTCTATTTCAGGGCTTGCAAGTTGACCAGCGGTGGCCCTATGATTTGGTGGTAGTTCCCCCCTTAAGCTTTTTGAGCGGCGTGATAGATCTTCAAACTTTTTCTTAACTTGCTCTTAATATCACACCGAATCTTTCCGCATACCGATTTAGACCCAGCTACTATTCTCTTCCAAAGATTCCTCTTCAAATGCTGAGCACAGTGGTTTTCTTTGTACACACATTTGTTTAATAGTGAAAACATTTCGTTTTGTGTGCACCGCAATGAAATGCGTAGCAGTAGAAAGTTTTAAAGAAAAACTAATAAAAAATTTCAATGACGAGTCAATGATAAGCAGTCTGTGATGAATAACAAGTACGGTACTATTGAAAAAAGCCAATTGATTATAACGCATTTCGAGGAAGACAAAAGGTAAAGAATAAAGCACTCGACGTTGATCTTGCCTTTTCTATGCGTCGTGCAATCAATTCCACTCCTAGTCCCATTGGGCTGATCAAATGCAGGTGTGCCTAATAATGGCTTGGTAGTTCTTGTTAATAAAGAAACCCAGTGTTTTATCTTTCCGAACAAGTCTGCTAGGTAATGATTTTCCAAGCGGTGGAGGACTTACCCAACAAGAGGCACAGGATTGAACCAATGATCTTGTTTGCGTTGCAGAGCACCTTTGCACATTCCATCAGAGGTCCTTTTTCTGTGAAGTATAAAAAAATTTATGGGGGTCTAAACGTTTCAATCTATGACCTTCGAAAAATAATTCCGATGATGTAATACCAATTGGCATCGAGATGTTTAACTTACTCAATCTGGCGACTCGTACCGTATCATCGCACAGATGTACTAACATTTTTACACATAGCCAAAGGAAACGACGGCTAGATGAAAAGTGATGAAGAGAAGGCAAACAGTAAGAAAAAGGAGAGGAAAAAGAGGAGAAAGTAGGTTATGCACGAAAAGGACACCGGAGAAGAACAAGTACAAGGACAAGAATAGAAAAATGGAAGTTTCTAAGGATAGTGACCCGTTTTGGTTTCAGTTTGTGTTCTGACAGCTATACTAACCCATTTACTGTGATACTAATCAAAACTACGAAAACAGAGAAACACATTGGTCTTCGAATCATCATTGGTCTCCTTATTTTTGCTACCGAGATTGAGAGCCTGCAAGACATTTTCGTAATTCATGAATTTTAGACGTATCCGAACACGACGACATCATTTCTTCTATTACCTCATGAGCTTCCCGATTTTCAATTCAACGGCGATGCAGGAGCTATCAAGCTATCAAGTGGGTTTCGCCGAGTATCAACAATAAACTGCATTCATAAATATGTTTTCATTAACCGTAATTTGGTAATAACTGTCTGGATGTCACCTGTATCACCTGTAGTTCTGTTGATAGTCATCGAGCAGGCGCCAGTGAATCTTCCATTTTTCCCTGTCGCGTGCAAGAGTAGCCCAGTGAGTTATGCTCGCTATAGGAACTCCTTGAGTATCAAATCTTTTTTCTAGGCTTTTCGTGAGTAACTCTGACCATCGGATCGGTGATCTTTCTGCACTACGTTTGATATCCCGAGGAATCCAGTCACTAACGGCTTTTGTCAATCCGTTGTCGCTCATATGCATTACGTGTCCGGCCCACCTCATCCTCGATTGTTTGGCACAGCGAACGGCATTTTGGTTTTTGGTCGCTGACGCAGGTCTAAGCTTCGGATTCCTTCCCTTACTTGCATGACACGGGATACTCCTAGCATCGTCCTTTCGACTGCGCAATCAATAACTTTGAGTGATTTTTTATCGTGTTTACGCAGCGACCAGATTTCTGATGCATATGTTAGAGAAGGAGGTGCTGCTGAGTCTAAAAGGTGGGTACGGAATAGGGTGTTCTTTGTTCTCCTCACTACCTCCTCGATTCTCTTGAGAGCTCCCCGAGCTGCTCGTTTCCATCTGCTTAACTTTGGAGCTAAGTCGTTCATCATATTGATTTCCCGACCTAGATGGATATAGATGGAGCATTCGGAGAAATTCGTTACGTTAAGCGTGAATGAGGCATGCGAGACCAATCCATTCTTCATGAACATCGTTTTGTGAGATTTAGTCGAAAACCAATCTTTCCACAGACTTTATCAAAGTGGGCAAGCATTTGTTCCGCTTAGCTAATGCTTGGTGTTACAAGGACGATGTCATCAGCAAAGCAAAGATGGTGTAACTGCCGACCGTCGATTTTCACTCCCATATTATTCCATTCCAATGATCGCATGACGTTCTGGAGGGTGGCGGTAAATAATTCTGGCGAGAGTGTATCGCCTTTCCCAATCCTTCTTATAACGTCGATATTAATATTGTTGTAGAATGGTGACATCTTGGTTGTGAAATCTTTGTACAACTCACGAAGAATGTTTATGCACCGATCAGGGACTGACTAACTATCAAGGGCTTCCGCGACTACTTCAATTCTATCTCAGTTGAGTCAGAGGCCATCTTTAAATCGATGAAAGTAAGACAGAGCGGTCTTTTGTGCTCTCGTTATACTTCAATGAGCCTTGCTATCGTGTCGATATGGTCCATCGTACTAAATCCTTTTCGAAACCCTGCTTGCTCACATGGCTACCCTTCGTCCAGTGTTCTGTCAATCATGTTTGGGACGACTCGAGTTGCAAGTTTGTAGACGACAGGCAGCAAGCAGATTGGGCGATAGTTACCAATATCGTGGAGGTCACTTTTCTTGAACATTAGCACGGTCTTGCTGGTATTCCATTGACCAGGGACCTTGCCTTGAGACAGGTAAGGTGTGAAGAGCCGAGTCAGTGTGTTTACGAGGACTGGCGGAAGGTTCTTCAGGTGTTCAGATCTTATCTTGTCCGTACCCTGGTGCTGTTCGATTTTTCACCGACGAAAAGGCGTGTCGGTTTTCGGAAGGGAGTGCTGGTAGTTCAAGATATCCATCCCCTTTTATTTCATATTACGTGGCTATCAAAGAGATCTGAGTAGTATTCGTAAATGACTTTTTCCATTACCTTTTTGGACGCTGTGACTGTTCTGTCTAGGCGTCGGAGTGCAATCATCTTGGTCTTGTACTTGGCGGTGGGCTTTGCGAATGCTTTTCCCAGCCTCTGCAGCTTCGATCATTGCTGCTGCTCTTTTCTTTTTAAGACCTTTTATCGCCTGCCTACATTGTTTTGTAAGCTTGAACGTTAGTTCGCGGTTGCCTGGAGCTCATGCCATTCCACTCTGGCCGATCAGCTCGAGAGTTCTGGTGACAGACCCCTCTTAGTGACTTTCCAACTCTCAGCTTTCATAGCGCTAACGTGAAGACGTTGAATGAGCCGAACGTATTCCTCGTCGGTATTATCAATAATAGCATTTTCCCAACAGCCGACTAATGAGTTGAATAAGTCCCAATCTATAGTGGTTTTCGAACTTCGTTTTTTTGAATTTAGCGGCTTTTCTTATTTCTGCGAGAAACGGAATCTTGCACGAAGAAGGCGTTAGTTTGATCCAGTGTGCAATTTTGGGGCAACAGCGACATCCGTTAGGCAAAACTTTTGGTTTACTATGACGTGGTTTATTTCATTGTTTTTCCCCACTGGAAGACTCGCATGTCCAGCGTTGAGGGTGGAGCTTCTGGAATTGGGAGTAAGCATGGATGATCTTGGTCGTCATGATAAACTCAGAAACCCGTTCACCCTGTTCGTTCTATTTTAATCCGTGGGTTCCAACGTGACGTTCTTCAGACGTCCTTCTGGGTCCAATCTTGGCGTTAAAATCTCAAATGATGACGTTGAAGAATCCATGGTCTTCTCTGTAGAACTTCTCCAATTCCGTATAGAACGCTTCGACTTCTTCTTCGTCATGGTTTGATGTCCGCACGTAAACGACGAAGATTGTCAAAGTTGATATTTATTGATCCGCAGCTTTTCAGTCATAAGCACCCGATTTGGGTTGTTAGTTGTTCGAATGATTCGACTTTCATGGACAAACTCGTGTTGACGTGAACGCCGACGCCGCCGACTCCTCTACTGTCGCATGTTCCGAGGAACAATTCTTCTCTGGTATCATAGACGGTGTTGAATAATGGGTGGCATTGTCACTTCTCGGCCAGGCCGATGACGTCGTATCTGATCCGTCTTGCTTGCATGATCAGGTCTTCTATCGAAGAGTCGGATGCAGATGAAAGTGTACGCGCATTTCAGGTGCAGATCGTCTCCTCACTTTGTGATCTAGGCAGGTTACTTTGGCCCTGAAATTTTAGCAGCCTTCCCGTACTTGTCCTACCTAAAGATGCCGAACTGCGGGCTCTTTCGGGGACAAGGAAATGAGGCCGGCTTCTTTTGCGGTGCTTAGCATTTTGATACCCACGTATATCTTGCTGGGCTCTGAAAGTGGGGCTTGGGTATACTCACGGATAGCTTGCCACTACCAGAGTGGACACAGATCTTATTTGTTGGAGATGCCTCCTGGCCGCCTCCCATATACTTCTCTGTCCCTTAATTGCAGACTTTTGGCCCAATTAACTCGTGGAATAAAATCCGCATAAACTTGGATGCACCCACACACGCATGCGTGGACACGGCTCGTAAATACAGAAAGCATGTGCCACATCAGCGCAGCAGAAACAAGGAGTCCATGTCCTGGACCCACAGCGTCTCAGAGAAACATACGATCACTTTTGGTCAGCGATTAATCCTCTTTCCGTCTGGGGTCGCGCCACGTAGTCTCGCGACTAACAGCTCGGGATCCCTCATTTGAGGTACCTCCGTGGTCTGGATCTCAACCGTACTAAAACATTACTGCTAAGGTAATGTAAAAGCATTGAAGATAATGTGACTGGAAAATTGAGAGATAGAAGAAAACATGATTATAGTTGTTCTTAGAATGTTTTAATAAATACCATGAGGCTATTCATACTTCCATTCCAGTGGCTGGTTTCGTCGATACTCTAATTTCTGAAAGATTTTCATTTCCTCGCTGACTATAAAAAAAGCTATACGTTTTGCAAAGAATCAAATGGACATCTCTAATGTTGAAAAACTGAATCAATGCTACTGCTCCACATACAAAAATTTGAGAGGGTGCCAAGCTTCAGGTCGAATTCTTACGTATGTCGACGATCACGGCCATGAAAAGCAGATTATGGTTTCGACTGCTGAAGGCCAAGCTGATATTTTGCTGGCTGCTCAAAACGGACGACTTGTTGGAGATTTGAAATTGAATCGGTACCACTGCTTCTATGCAAAAACAATCTTTGTCGTTGATTTTAGCGAAACCTGCGAAAATTTTGAACTCGCTCGCAACCTGAATGATCTTGTTGTGGGGCGAGATCGCAGTTGTGGATCACAGTTGGACAAACAGCTAACATCAGTCATACTTATGATGAAGCGGCAGAAGACTTTGCGTTGTTATTAAATCTTATCCATTGGTTTTTGTCTCTGGACATTTACCCTTTGCGCCGATTCTTTTTTCTCATTTCTATTCAAATTCATATTTTACTGGAAAACAACGCCAGTCTTTTTCAAATACAGAGGGTTTTCAAAAAAAAAATATTATTTACCTTCATTCCAGATTATCGGTGCATCTCCATCGTTCCGCTCTCTTGGGGCTGGATCCAACGTCTATCGAGCAACTAACACCTTTGGCGAAAACGTTCATTGGTCCACAACTAAGCCAGGCTTTGAAGAAAGGTGTTCCATTTCCACTTAAGGTAATCTGTATTCAATACATGTGAGTAAATTTGTTTAAAAATCCACAGAAGAGATGAGGATCTGTCAGTGAAAAACCAAATCATTGGCACTCCAACGGCCTGTTGGCTTTTCTTAGAAACTTCTTTGGATGACGATTGTGGTGAGAAATTAATGGCCACTCATCTTATCTTTTTCGCCGGCGATATATATGATTTGTTCATCAATATGTTTTACACCTTAATCGTACAACGAATCAGTTCAGGATTCGATCACTTTCGTTGACCCTCAACTGAGAACTCGTGACGGCTACGTTGAACTCGCCACCGACTTCCAACTCAATGAAGATGCATTAAGAGAAAAAATTCGGGAGACCTTCACAAACATCAATGTTTGACAATAAATTTATACGATGCTAAAGAATCCATATGAATATGACTGGAAATCGATAGTGTGAAGGCGAATAGCAGCGGAAATTTCATGTACCAATTCTTAGGGGCAACTTTCTACTAACCTCGCCACTTATTAATAAGCTACCTCTTTTCCAGTGATTAGACACGAGGTCGTTAGTAACACTTCATTGACAACAGAAGACGCTTCGGTGGTTTCGCCTTCTGTAGAGCCTAAAGAGGTCAAACTGACACGCTATCTAAACCTTACCAAATAACACTTAACACAAAAATTAGCGTTCGTATAATACACAGTTCCTTTTAAACATCCACCGTTTTATTGTCGTAAGCCTTCCAGTTAATTGGTGGAGAGCAGCCGCACAGCGTATAACACGGGCGGGGAATGTGTCTGAGTCAGGTCATAGAATCAGCCTGAAGCACGGCACTAGGTCACACGTGATCACAAGACACTTCTTTGGAGTTTATCTTTGGATTTTTGAAATTTACCCGAAGCAGTTGAAAGTTTTTTCGTGTTTATTTCTTAGAATTCTATGCGAAGATGGTAACTTTTATTTCAAAATCTTCCCTTTGTGTCTTGGTGCGCCGTGTTGGAGTGTTCCCACTGACGTCCAGTTTCACAACAAGGTATTATTTTGCAGTGGTCTACCCATTTCGCCAAAGTATTCGCCCTGCACGGTTTATAAACATCAGGCAAACCGTACACGAACTAAGGCAACCACCATCTCTACGTCAGGACATGTTATGTAATTTTGTGTTGCGCGTATACGGCAATGCGAGTGGTTAAGATCTCGCTGACATCTGAGAATGTCCAGTGGTATTTCAATTGCTGTTAACGATTTCTCTTAAGCGGCCCTTCTTAAACAATTTTTTACAGTTACAGTTATTGCGTTAGATATCAGGGAAAGGATAAACGGGAGGTTATAGATCGACTTTGTTGCAAAGCTAAAACAGACACGTTGCATAAGAATGAAAAAGAAGAAGTAGAGGCATTATCACCGCCTACTTTCCTCGACTGTTGCTTGGATAGAAATACTCCAACGACGAATTATACATAAATTTTCGCATATTTCTGGATGAAACCCTCAGAATCCTTAACCACCATCGCGCGAAAAGCTCTGTTCTAGCCTCACAGCAGCGCAAAAATGTGGTGTGCGACAGGTTCGAGAAATTATAGAGTCAAAACTATTAAACTATCACAATCTTAACCTTTTTATTTACTGCCCATTCTTTTCAACGGCAGGGTATCTGCGAAATCTAACTACTATAATGCTGAGATGTTTGCAAAACTCCGGACAGAAGGTGCCTGCGGTGGGGAAGGAACGCGCTTTTGTCCTTCCAGGGGAGTAATTCGTTCACCACCATGGGGGTCCTTTGTTTCGCCTGTCTCTCAGCTAGCTCTATCGATCTTTTGCCATCAGCAATCACCTGTCAACGGGATTGATCTGGGAAACCCAAATCGGCATTTTTTGGGCCATAAACTCTCAAAGTCCTTAACCGCTATCGCGTGAGAAAGTTTAGTTCGAACCTTTCAGCTGCTCAAAATTCTGGTATTCGACAGGTTCGAGAGCTAATAAAGTCACAGAGTATTAGACTACCAGTTAGTGATAAGGGTGAAAAGTTTGTTGTGATTCCTCGCCAATTAGATGTTGAAATAACGGAAGAACATTTTGAAGACGCATCTCTTCATAGCGCATCAACTGAAAAGGAATTCAGAAGTCAAAATCGAAAACCGAACAACGAATGGGTCAAAATGGTAAGCACCGCAGGCTTAAAACCACCAGACATTTCGCATCTTAAGGTCGAAGTGCCGACATGTCCTGTTTTATACTTACTTATCAAAACCCATAAGTTAATAACCGCTGGTGATCTGGCGTCTACTGACCCCTCCACCTTTAAAGTTAGACCCATCATCGGTTGTGTACACGGACCTACGGATAGAATTGCATGGCATATAAATCTAATCCTCAACCAATTGGTTAAGCACATAACAGCCCATTTAACGAACGCCAAAATGCTCCTAGATTTTTTGCGTTATGCATGTCCCAAAAGAGCATACGTTATGGAATCGTTCGACGTTACCGCTCTTTACACTAACGTGTCGAACGACTCCGTTATGCAAGCCATCCCCGAGCTTCTTCAGCAACACGAAGGAGCAGTTAACATATATGGTTTTCGATTCAGCAGATTATGGTCTTCTTAAAAGTCTGTTTAAACTGCTCGATCTTCAGATGGTCCGAGAAATATTACGCGCAAATTAGAGTGTTGGCAATGGGACAACGACTGGCACCGACCCTTGCCGTTGCCTTTATTTCTAGAATGGAAGCACGAGTAAACGATCTTAGGCCATTACTCTACTGTAGGTACATAGATGATTGTTTTGTCATCCGCTCCACACAGGAAGAAATGGACAAATGCTTTGAGTAATTGAACAAACAGTCAGAGTACATAAAATTCACCCGTGAGAAACCGAAAGAAAACTGGCTTCCATTTCTAAACGTTCAAATCAACCTATCCGAAAACGTCTACGTCACAAAATGGTATCGAAAGTCAAGCAGTAAGAATATAGTGGTTCATTACCTCTCCTCTCACCCATCACACACTAAAAGGGCGCTTATAAGAAATATGTAGAAATATGCTTCGAACCGCTACCAGCGCGTGCACAGGTAGAGAGAAGAAGGAAGAATCCTCGAAACTGGTGCCCCAAATAGCCATTTCAAATGGGTACGAAACTGTGGATTCTCGGCATAGACATAGAGGAAAAACCACGCCCTAGAGCGATGATTCTAGCGAAAACAAGGCTCCGTTCCTCTTGCCCTTTATTTCAAACGAAATAAGTGCAGCTATAAAACGTTGCTTAATAAGGGTCGGTCTAGAGAATTCCATAAGAGTGATAGAAATACCATCGGACACTCTAAGACGCCAGCTAGTTCGCAACCGCCTATATGACCGTCTATGTATAACGAAAAACTGCATAATTTGCCCTAACGGTAGAGACGGTGATTGCATGAGTTCGGGTACAGTCTATCTGATCTCTTGTAAAGCGTGCGGGCACGAATATGTTGGTGAAACGGGTAGACCGCTCTGCGTCCGCATAAAAGAACACCTAGTCGGTAAATCTAAATTAAAACCAAACACTCGACTAGGCGCGCATAGGATGCAGGAACACAACGGAGAAGTAATTCTTCGTATTTTTGTTGAGCAAACGCGAGGTGTTATTATTCTTTATTCACGAGTGAGCTGACGTTTCGGCGGATTTCGCCTTCCTCAGAGCCGCTTTCTATGAGGTCTCCACTAAGTATGTCACGTAGAGACCAACCGCACAGAAATCACATGGAAGTATAATGTGCCTATGATGTATAATATGCGAATACAAATTTATTTCTTGAGTTTTATCTGCTAGGGTTATGAAAGTGTTTGGCTGAGTAGATCGCATCTCGATTTGATCTTTCCAGGCTCTGAAGAAGGCTAGACCTCCGAAACGACGACTATTGTATCATAATGAATTCTATAATAACAGCATCGTGTCTGCTTATTGAAGAAAAACACCTGTTGCCAGAGTTTTTAAACTGCTATACCTTCAAGCGGCTTAGGAAACATTGCAGGTAATGGGAGGCTTGGCAAAAGGGCAGCGGCAGAAACCAACCCATGGTCCTGCCATTGCCATTACGTGTAATGTAAGAGCACTCGCAAACGATGGACAGCCATTACTCTACCGCAGATAAATAGATAATTCCTTTGTCATGTGCTCCACACAAGAAGAGATGGAGAAATGTACTAACTTATTGAATGAATAGTCAGAGTGCATAACATTAACCCGAGGGAAACCGGAAGAAAACTAGCTTCCATTTATGAGCGTTCAAATTAACCTACACGAAAACGTCCACATAACGAAGTGGTAACAAAAGCCAAGTAATGAAAATATTCTGGTTCATTACCTTTCCTCTCACCTCTCACTAAAATGACGCTTGTGAGGAACATTTCTAAAATAGCCACGAGTGTGTGCATAGGAAGAAAGAATAAAGAATTGCTGAAATTGCCTCGGCAGCCATTTTCAGTAGCCAGAAAACTGTTAGCTCCTCGCGGCAAGTTTGGAGGAATAACTGCACCCCAAAACGACAATTCAAGTGAAAATATAATCCGGTTCAGCTGCCCTTCGTTTCGAACGAAATAAATGGGTTGTAAAATATTGCTTAAAAATGGCCGCTTTGGAGAATTCGGTAGCAGTGATTGGAAGACTACCGAACACTCTAAGACGCCAGTTAGTTCGTGACCGTTTGTATGACCATTACGTTCGTATGACCAGTTTGATTCTAGAATTGTGGTGGGTGGTTTACTCTTAGTTAGACTTTCTGGTGGAAACGCCGGACTCCTTCTCTGATTGGGAGAGGCCTTGCTGGGGGATGAATCTTACCGTTGTACATAGCCGCCCGACACCTAAGAACACCTCCCATCCACGATGAGGCGATAAACCGTTGGGAGAAATTCAGTATGCTACCACATTAATACGGGAAAAATAGGATTCTGGACAGTTCCCAAAAATCCTGGTATGAACCGCAAGGAAGAGTGCCTTGTGATCGCGTGTGACTTTGCGTCATATACCATACCGATTTGTTGACCTGAGCCAGGCACATTCTTCGCCTACGTAGGATAATGTGCGTCTACTCTGCACTAAATAAGTGGAAGACTTATAACGAACAAAGCGGTGAGCTCCTACACAACTTTCATTGGCTAACGCCTCAACGACTTCATCATCCTCAGAGCTGACGATCCGAGTCGGTGTTTCCATAGCCGTTCGTTCTCCCACTGTGGTGTCTTCGTTGTCGTATCGAGTCGGACCTGCTCCAGTGGAGAGCCGCTCGAGCAAGGCAACCTCACCCGGCGTTGCTCTTTTATACAGTATGGTTGCTGACGATAGTGACTACCCGTTAATAACAATTTTTTTTCAACGGAAGATGCACCTTGCTTCAATCGGTATTAGAATAGCCAG